CCCCCCCACAATGTCAGCTGCAAGTACGAGTATTCCTCCACACACGAGTCAACATGAAATCATTGTCAAGGGAAGTAAGCTCGAGAACTGACAAAGAGGAACAACATATTGAGTTACTTCCCGTAGACAACAAATCGCTTGAAGAGAAGAACCTGCTGCCCGCCCAGTTTTCTTTCCTATCTTTCTTTCTTTCTTTTACACATACCCGCCCATTGACTTCTGCCCCCTCTTTACTTTTCAGTGCCGTATTGGGATTCGTAGCTCGGTTGTCTGATTTGCAGTAAAACGTTTATGAAAATAGCCTGCAGTAGCCTAGATCTATAGCTTTTGTACCAAAAGGCTTTTGGAAAGTTAGGTTCGAGCCTCGGCTCGGTCCTACGTTTTGTCCTTGGGAAACGCACTTTACACGAATTTCCCATTTGGCTCGGTCCTTTAAATTTGAAGATGGACGTTAAACTCGCAGGTCCCGCCTCTCAATAATAAATAATCTAATAGTGTTGATAGGGGCGTTAAACATACCATTTCACCATTTTTCACTTTAAGAGAGACTAAAAACAAGACAAAGATCTAGAACCAGAACACTTTGGGGAATGTAACGTGGCCAGGCACGCATTTGTGTCCTGGGGGACGGATGGGGAGACATTATTAACTGTTGGTGAACTAATAGTAATAATAATGATACCAGATAGCATTTGTATAACGCAAATTCCCGCTCAACTGAATGCTCTATGCGCTTTACAATCTATACTACCCAAGCAGACCTGACAGTGTTCTGAAAAAATCTCAACGTTCTGGAAAGCAAACAGGGTTAACTGTCATTTTATAGGCGCTAAAACACTAACATACTGGCAAGATCTTTTGCTGTCTATGGCTGAGTACCCATTCCTACCTGTGTGAAGTGAGGAGCATTTGTGTGAAGTATCTTTTCCAAGGACACAACGCTGGGGCTGAGGCTCGAACTCCCAAACCCGCAGTCTTACGATTACGAGTCCGCTCCTCGTCTACTCACTAGATTTCTAACGCCGCGTTGATGTAAAGGTTTGGGAGTTAGGGTGGGGGGATTGGGGGGAGGGGGGATGGGGTAATGGTGCACACAGAGATGTGTTTTGTATTTTCCTTTGCACCGAGGTGTCATCATCACAGTTGTCGTTGGTGTTGCTGTTAGGAGTGGAGGGAAGGAAGGGTTGGATGTAATGATGCTTTTACTGCTGCTGCTGCTGCTGCTGCTGATGCTGATGCTGAGGCTGATGCTGATGATGGAGCATTATTTCGAATACACTAGTATGCTTGGAATATTTTCAAATCTCCATTGTATATTTCCTATCGTACATTAATGATTATTACAATCTGTAACAAGAATAATGTCAAGTTCAGTACTTGTTGTTCTTGTAAAATTAAAATGACAAGAGTGTAACAAAAAGGTTCAGTTGTGTCCATTTCATTGGCATCTGTAGTGCAGCGATAGGCACTTTGCAGCGGCTGCAAAATCAAAACAAAAACAAAAACAAAAAAACCCCAACCAACCAACCAAACAAACAAAAAGAAAAAAAACAACCCACCAACAACAAGCAACCCAGGTTTCGACTCCTACGTCGAATGAATTTTTATTGAGTATCTCTCTTTTCCTGATTGGACGATGTATCCATCTCAGTACGGGTTGACCCTGACAAGCACAGTCGAAGCCTGCCTTCTAAATCATCTTAATAATAATAACATTGTGTCGATAGGAGCATAAAACACCAATACCCCCCCTCCCCCTTTCCACACACACACACACAAAACAAACAAATGACTAACACACAAAAAAAACCCTCACGAAAATCAAACAACAAAAACAAAAAACAAAAATAAAGAAAAGAAAAGAAATCAAAAGATTAAATAAAGATAAATGTCGATTTTGACAAAAGGGTCGTAGTCATAGCGTGCCCCCATAGATGTACACTATAGTCACTAGATACCGTACGCCCCTCTCTCGCTTTGCTGCGCGATGGCCACATTTGACAGCAGCGTCCGCCATGTTTCGATGGGCGAGTTGTGTGAAGGAATTCAAGCTAAAGCAATGGGCCAGGCATGTTTTCTCTCCCTCATACGCGATAGGCGATCGGCTTGGTCCTTGTTAACTTTTTTTTTTACGTGGGCGCCGTGGCGTACTATCTAGGTTACTAAATAGCAATAATACAGCGTTCTTTTTACTACTAGATCTACAAATAAATGTATTATTAAATAGATAGAGATAGAGATATAGGCTTAAAAATGGAACCCCCCAAAAAACCTTTATTTCTTCATCAGCGCTATATCTACGAAGTGGTTTATTTCTTATTGACTGAATCAAAGCGTAGATCTATAGGGCCTATCGAACTTATAAAAAGAAGTATGAATTAACAGGTGATATCATGGGAACCTCCCATTCACCCCACCTTTTCTCTCCTCCTGGACTCACTAAAGATAAAAAAGGGAACTTAAAGTTGTTTTGTATTTGTAGCCTGGACAATTGTTTGTCTACACAGTGTAGTGATAAGTGATATTATGATGTGCATGTCTATAGCAAGCTCAGCACCAAACGCACTCTGGCTATGGTTTCCTTTGTCACCAATAAACTTGACCATCAATGATTTATTTATAGAGGCACCAGCCATCCATGTCCAGGTGCTGTTTTAGCCTTCACCAATAAACTTAGATATCTATCCTATACACTACTTCATACATTTTAGACACAAGCCTATCTTTGGCTACTCCCATCCATCATTTTCCCATAAAAATAATTATGATTGATGATGCTGTTATATTACTATGTTATATATATATATAAATATATATATATAATATAAATATAATATATATAGATCTATAATATATCTTAAGTCAGTGAGTTAAGTGAGTGAAATGAGTACCTCGGATTAGTAGATCTAGCTTGGATTTTGTGATGTTTAAGAAAGTAATTAAACACAAAGACGAGGCAAAATTGCGGTGGTTACATCTAATATCAATTAACTGAAAGGTAGGCACTGATCAGACCAGACTCTTAATCTCTTCGAATATTTTCTTCAAAACAGAGATCTGGGTCTAGATCTAGATCTAATCTGTCAAAATTCTTATCAATCTTATTCTTACCAATGAAATGAAAGAGGGGCTCCTTTGGAGGCTCTGTTAGTACACTAATAAATGCAGCAGTGTTGCACCATCCTTTCTGGTCTCGTTTTATTGTAAAGAAAGTCTCTAAGGCTGCAATAATAATAATAATAATAATAACAATAATAATAACAACAATAATAATAACAACAACAACAATAATAATAACAACAATAATACTACTAATAATAATGCAGATCATTACAATAATAACAACAACAACAACAACAATAATAATAATAATAACAATAATAATAACAATAATAATAATAATAATAATAATAATAATAATAATAATAACAATAATAATAATAACAATAATAATAACAACAACAACAACAATAATAATAATAACAATATAATAATAATGCAGATCTATGTGCTTTACATAAATGCATGTATGAGCAATATTCACACACACACACACACACACACACACACACACACACACACACACACACACACACACACACACACACACACACACACACACACTCACACGCACACATCACACGCATACGCTTACACATCGTACAAACATGATCTAGATCTAGAGATCTAGATATCTACATCTAGATCTCGACGTCTAGATCTATGGGGATTTGGCTTTTCTTTGGGTTACATAAACGAGTTTCAGTATTATTTTCATTAAGCTGGAGCGTATTATCAATCATCCAGTTCTTGACATCATCAATGCACATACCCATGGTGGCAGGGGAGGTTTTAACATCTAGATCTAGTGGTGGAACAGATTTATACAACTGTTTATTATCTGCGTACATGTGATAATTCATACTCAACTGTGCTTTCTAGTCACAGCTCCAAGCGGCTGTGTATAACGTATACTCGATTGGACCCAATAAGACGTTAATCCAGAAAGGGACTAGATCTAGAGGTTTCATATGCTTGCACTTTTAAGAGAATCGCTTTGGATTAAAACATAACGTTAGAATCAAATAAAACACGTAAGAGCAGAGACACGCCCACTCACATGTAAACAAAAGTTTTCGCCCACTGAAAAATGGCCGCCTACAAACTCAAACGTTTCCGTGTCACGTGACCTCGTACGGACTCTAGCTAGTATGAAAGGAGATAACTCTATGCGTGCCCCTAAGATAATATATTGACTGAATTACTCCCCTTACAACATCAGGCGATTTCAGGTGTTGCAGTGTTTGTGTGTGTGTGTGTGTGTGTGTGTGTGTGTGTGTGTGTGTGTGTGTGTGTGTGTGTGTGTGTGTGTGTGTGTGTGTGTGTGTGTGTGTGTGTGTTTGTTGCACAGTAGCTCGAAATTAATAGCTAGTGCCGGATCTAAAAGAAATTTTTTTTGGGGTAATTATTCTTTACGTTGCTCCCAACTGCATAAGGTCACATGAGCGCGCGGAACACATGAAACATTTTCAGTTGGTAGGAAATTTTGCTTTTTGCCCGGATAGCGGCCTAAACCTACTCTTATTGATTTTTGGACCACCAAGGGATATTTCACATGCGCAACTTGCACACTAGGCATAGGCATAGATCTTATCTACCATAAGATCAGGGGTGAAGCTGAAAGACAGCAGTAAGAAGGAGGCAAGGAGTAGCAGTAGAAAGGCTGCAGAAAAAAAAATCAGGATCTCAGCGGAGGGGACAAAGGAGGTGAGGGGTGGGGGCAGAAAGTGGAGACGAAAGCAGACGACAGAACATTGTTAGATAGCAGGAAAAGAGGTGAAAGGAGAACATTCTAGAGAAGAACATTTTCCGTCGATGTCCAGATTCGAACCCGAGACCTATTGAATGAGAGACTAACACCGTAACCCCTGTACTACGAGATCCTCCACTCATTGGCGTTCTTCATTCGTCAATCACATCATTTTCTAAAAAATAAACCTAATAATTTTTATAATTGTCCTCATCTTTTTTCGTCACCCGTCTGTTCTAGCTCTCTTGTTTTAGCAAGAGTTTTAAGGCACTTGCAACACAGTAAGGTCATATACGTGCCGAAGATTAAGATAAGATAAAATAAGATAAGATAAGATACATCTTTATTGTCCAGATCCTGGCACATTGGTTTGGTGTTCCACCACGAGTACACGCACACACACGCACACACATGCACACACACATATACACACACACACACACACATACACACACACACACACAAACACACACACACGTGCACGCACTTGCACACACAAGTGTAAGCTTACAATCACATACATAATATAAATGAGCAGCAATATAAACGATAATAATCGTAAGCTAGATACACACTCAATGTTATTTTGATACATGCTCTAAGGTCGTAAGTACACTAAACAAGATGGTTAAGATGGAAGCATTTTGATAGATGATGGTAAAAATGACCTTCTGCATCTTTCTTTGCTACAGATCAGAAGCATGGGTCTTTTACTTCTGACTGATGTTTTTATTTGAGGGAACAAGGGATGTTTGTTGTCTAAAAAGATGGAATTCATTTTCTTAATGCAAGCTGTTATGTACAATTCATCCAAGTACGGGAATGAAGATGTTGAAATTTTACATGCTTTCCGTATTAGTCGATTTAATTTTTCTTTATCTTGTTGTCTTGTGTTCCCGGCCCATGCTGTTATACAAAACTTGATAATACTTTCTATGGTTGAATGGTAGAACATGGACATCAATGTTTTATCAACTTTAAAATACTTTAGCTTTCTAAGAAAAAATAGTCTTTTGTTCACTTTTTTTATGCAGGAGAGAAGTGTGGACACGCCAGTTGAGTTTGTTGTCTATTGTAACAGGTGTTACAAGAGAGTAACAAACACAAAAAAGGAGGAAGGGGGAGATAAAGACGATAGATGTTTGACAGGAAAGAAGAAGCAAACCACACCAGAGCACCCGCCAACCACCTACTCAAGTTTTCTAAATAACTCGTAGTCTTCTTCTTTGCGTATCCTCGATCGACCTCAGGGGTAGTCCACTGACGGTTCTTCAACCTGATATGGGTTCGATTCCTACGTTTGTGGGTTATTTTTTATCGAGTATCTGCGTCTGTCTGCTGGGATGTTGTATCCCTCTCAGCCCGCGTTGTCCCTGACAGGCGAAGTAACCCGCCTCCTAAATCGTCAAATTGTGCCGAGAAGTGCGTAATACAGCTATAAATGCAAATAGATGGTCAGTTCAATCAGAGACTGTGCACGCACGTGCACGCGCGTGTGTTTGTGTGTGAGTGTGCGTGTGTGTGTATATGTATGTGTGTATGTATATGTGTGTGTTTGTGCGTGTGCGTGTGTGCGCGCGCGAGTGCGCGCGTGTGTGTGTGTGTGTGTGTGTGTTTGTGTGACACTGTGTCTGGGGCTGTATTCCCCACAGTGTCGGATGTATCACCTTCTACTAATGAGCTCGCTCTTAGTTTGGCTTCTCATTCTTTGTTTTCATTGTCGTCCCAGTGAAGAACATCATGGTTAGAACACATTGCCAGCTCGCATACCAAAAAAGTTGAAGTCCCTCTCAAGAAGAACTTATTATAGGCACATAAAGGCAAAGAAGAGACACAGCAAGAATTTAATAAATCATCGGTGTGGTTTCTTCTTCTTTCCTATCAAACACCTACCGTCCTTATCTTTCCTTTTTTATGTTTGTTACTCTCTTGTAATACGGTACCTCTAATATTCTGGCGCTCATGCGACCTTATGCAGTTGCGAGCGCCGTAATACCTCGACTACAACTAAACTAAACTAAAAAACCAACGGTTCGCCCCCCATCTGTTCAAGTTCTCTAAATCATAGGTCTTAGTCTTAGGGGTTGGTGACTGCTGGTTCTTAAAACTGGAGTGCAACTGATTTTTACATATACTATCGTTTTTTCGACTTCGTAGCGCCCTTTGCCATAATCAGGCAGTCACACTTCGATTTCGAAGGGACACGATATATTATTCTTATACTGTGATCTTTCTCCGTTACATCTTTTCGAGGTGAGGTTCGGACTGTACATGAGTAAACTATTTACCGCCCCATCCTCACACCAAAAAGATATGTGACGGGGAAAGATGTGCGACCAGGGGAAAGAAAAAATAAGGTCGATTTTCAGAAAAAAACAATGTGGCGTACGGGTTTCTTGAGCTGAACCGTCGAAATATCACTTCGAGAACTAGAACAGACGGGTCACGGGGAATGACCAGTATATTATGTGATGTTGATAGATCACAGAGCACCTGAATGGCCAATCATGACTGACGGTTTCTGTTTTGGGACCCGGCACTTGAGGAAGAAGAAAAAAAAAAAAAAAAGAAGAAGAAGAAGAAGAAGAAGAAGAAGAAGAAGGAGAAGGAGAAGGAGAATGAGGAGGAGGAGGAGGAGGAGGAGGAGGAGGAGGAGGAGGAGAAGGAGAAGGAGAAGGAGGAGAAGGAGAAGGAGGAGGAGGAGGAGAAGGAGGAGGAGGAGGAGGAAGAAGAGGAGGAGAATAATAATAACAATAATAATAATAATAAGGAGGAGGAGGAGGAGGAGGAGGAGGAAGGAGGAGGAGGTGAAGAAGAAGAAGAAGAAGAAGAAGAAGAAGAAGAAGAAGAAGAAGAAGAAGAAGAAGAAGAAGAAGAAGAAGAAGAAAAAGAAGAAGAAGAAGAAGAAGAAGAAGAAGAAGAAGAAGAAGAAGAAGAAGAAGAAGAAGAAGAAGAAGAAGAAGAAGAAGAAGAAGAAGAAGAAGAAGAAGAAGAAGAAGAAGAAGAAGAAGAAAAAGAAGAAAAAGAAGAAGACAAAGAAGAAGACAGAGAAGAAAAAGAAGAAGAAGAAGAAGAGAACGAGGAAAAGGACGAGGACAACATAGGAAAGAAGGAGCAAACCACACCAGAGCACCCACCAACCTACCACTATGAGCACTACCGGTACAAACAATATAAACAACAAGAAGAGATTTTTTCTTTTTATCATGAAATATGTTTATTACTGAAATGAGTCTTCCAATCAGAAGAGAGTTTGACACTTACACTACGCACAATTCAAGACCTGCATGCGCATCTCCTGCGTAGCAAATAGGTCAGCTCCACCAGACACACAGACAAATACACAAACACGCACACACAAACATGCGCAGCACGCACCCTCACACTCTTCTTCAAACTGTCAGTACAAACTCAAAAACTTCTCCTGCCCGATGACAGACACGGTGGTGTTTCGAGAACGATGGTGTATACAGTAAATATGACCAAAATAATCATCAAATGTGACGTAAATGATAACAAAGAAAGAAAGGGTGGGGTGGGAAAGGGGACGGGGGCGGCGTGGGGAGGGAGAAGAATGAATTTAGTGTAAATTTAACAGAAAAAAAAAAGTTTTGCTTCTTTGCTGTTACAACAACTGCATTCTACTTGCCAATACCATCTTGATTTTTAACTCGACAAGCAGAAGCCTAAGATGAAAAAATGAACACAAATCAATGAAACAGCAAGCACAAAAAGTGAAATGAGCATAGAGATAATGAATGGTAATATTATAATATATATTTACATCTTTTGAAAAAATCAGTTTGATTTATTTTTGTAGATGAAATGGGGATGAGTGACTTGTCTTGGAAACCCCCAAAACTCTACACCAACACAAAAAAAAGTGCTAAAACTTGACCCATAACCTTTGGGATAAATACAATTAAAAGAAATCTTAAACTTATTCTTGGATCCGAATGCCTTACATCTGTAAAGGCGAATTGCGGACAACAGAACTTCAAAATACCAAAAAACACTACAGGAATAAATCAGTACTTTTGACCCATACTTTTTGGGCTTTACAAAACTAAAAGCTTTAATCCAAGTTTGAATCAGAACCAACAGAAAAAGATATAAAACAAATTAATGGCCAGCAGCTAAAAGACTTCAAGAACTTTGTTCCTTAGCACAGTAAATTGTAGAGTGGTTTGTGTTCCAAGCTGAATATTGACGATGTTCTAATATGTCATTTCATGATGTGATCGCCAAAGTTAATCTTTTTAAAACTTTCACATTGTCATTGTGATCTAAGTACCTTTCCCAGGTACAACCAATAAGCAGCTCTCCAACAGCAGAAGATGTCCCCCACATTCTCATTCTGTGCCTTCCTTTATTTCTCATCTCGCCTTCACCACAATTCGTCTCTGCTCCACTATTCTGCTTATTTGTTCCATTGTACCCAATGAGCAATACTGCATTAGATAAAATATCCCCTGACAGCAATCTGATAAGAAAATCCCCTCCTCATTGGTCTGTGACCCATTAGACACAACAATCCTTGCTTGCACTGTTAATTAAGTGAATGAGTGGAGATGACAGCGTAGAAAAGGCAGGAAGGGACACAACCAGGGTGTACCAGAGCTCACAATGGCATGCATAAAGTAGCCCAGACACGCATTGCTATCTACTAGCCATATTCACACACGTCTTTATTTTACACATAAATATATTTGAAAAATTATCTTTTTCCCAGAGACATGCGTTGTTCATTAACATTTCCTTTTTACATTATACATTAGACTCAGAGCCAACAAGTTCAAGCTTGGTTTTTTTTTCTAGACTTCACTTTTTTCTAGTTTCTCTTTCTTGTATTTGTATTCAGACTCTGCACTGTCTTCTTTTCATCTAAGTTACATATTTTTGCTGTAGAGACATCCCCTACCCTGCCCCATTCTTCCTGGTCAAGAAACAAACTGGGCGTTTCTCCACATCTTTTTACCAACATTTTGACACAAGACCCTTTCCAGAGATGACACCTGATGAGTAACTGGATCAAATGGAGTGGAAAAAGACACGTCATCAGAAAAAAAAATCTGATCAGTTTTTGTCTATGAACGATTTTAATGCTCTCAAATCTTAATGCATTGGTCTCCTGAATCAATAAAGGTGAAATACTGGGACGCTGGGCAATGGAAATATACGACAAATAGGCTGACTACAGGCAGGAACCATTAAAGATATGGACCATGAGCAAAATGTTCATAATTTTTCAGTGTGAAATGAATACAACACACACCATAACTACACAGATGATGAGAGAGCCAGAGAGAGGAAGAGAGAGACTGACAATTTTGATACATCATGATGTAGGAAGATGGATTAAACCACTCACACTAGCAGCTCCTCTGCCTCCTGTACTGACCCTTGCAAGTCAATGTGAAAGATGATTATTGTAGAAAAAACCCCAGAAACAAATCAAAGATAAATATACACTGACATTTTGAAGTACAACATCCAAAACATTGCATTGTACAGTCACATGGCAAAAACTCCAGGGTACAAGACCTGTTGTAATGGTGAAGGTGATGATGACAGTGACACCTGGTGCACACACACACACACACACACACATACACACACAGCATACACACACACATGCACACACACAAACACTCACACACACACATAGAGAAATTGATGCACTCATACACATCCAGTAATGCCTAGAAACAACACTGATTTTGAAAACATTTCAATCAGAGAAACCAACAATATATTCCTAATGTGCTTGTATTTTTCCAAAGTTAACTTAAAGTTCTGTGAATAGAACACAGGTTTCTGGCCGTTTACTTTGTTTTCTAGACTACACACTTGTAGCGTTCAATATTATTAGTTGTAAAGAAACTGCCCCTTACATCAATTACCTCATGATGAGAAAAAAAAGTACCGGTTTCTGCTCGTGCCCAGCCAAAAGTCTGAGATCTTTATCTAATCCGGTGTATCTATTCCCTGTCTCCTTTCACATATACTCATAACTGGTGAGACAAAAGGTACCCATGCATTATAACTATATACATGAACAAACTCACAAGAGCAGAGCTTGACACCAACCCCACAGTCACCATAAACATGTAAAAAAATCAGTTGGTTGTCTCCACATGCCACATCCAAGGATAATATTCCAAATACACTTTTTCTTATTTTCTTATGAAACTTAGATTGTACAATTCTAGAAATCTAGACATGCTATGTCCCTAGTATACAATTTCAAAATCTTTGAAGGTAAATGAAGAAAAACTGCAAGATCATGTACTTCGAACTTGCAAGCTATACAAGAACAGACAAGACTGACATTCTCACTGTATACTCCAGAAAATTGGAAAATAGATAATTAACATTAAGCGAAAATCTTCATTGGTACAGAACACTGAGAAGACAGAAGAACCACACAGACGCAGCATGGTACTGGCAGTCATGAAGTGCTCAAGTTCCATTGTTCTGGACAATTGTGACGATGAAAGGGACAAATAACTTCAGGACGCCACTTGTCAGAACAATGTGGCAATACGTGCCCAGAGTTAGCATCTATAGTCCAAGACATCATGACTGTTGAAAAGAGCTTCCTCAAAGTAATTGCTGACTACAGCTGTTTTAAGATTATATGTAACTTAGAAAAACACACACACAACTAGACACATCTCCAGTAGTGGCACAGTATGAAATTCAATCCTAGACTTAAAATTACGGAGAGAACCTTGAGATTCTTGGAACGATGATTGAACAGGTGTGTATACAATGTATATTTTCTAAATCAAAGCAAACTTTCCTGACTTAATAATAAAAGATTTTTTAAATGCACACTTTCTCTGAACTTGAAATGACAAGTTCCGTTCTCAGATCAGACATTAAAAATCCTAGGTCTGTAGTCAAGTACTTTTCTACCACTTGAGCAGTTGTGTACAAAGATAAAAATAAGTATGACAAGCACTACATTCTAGAAAAATCAAAGCAACCAGAACCAACAAAGTCACAGAGACCTGTCCTGGGAGTCAGAATGGATTACAAAGTCTAGCATGCTACAATCACCATGCCGTAGAATGTCTACAGTAATAACTTTTACATGAGCTGTAATTTCTGCAGAGTTTACATCCTTTTCAACACTATGAAGGTTATCATCAAGACAGGACCTCCGAACCAACGTCTACTTTGACAGGACTGGTGGGAGAAGAGCAAGACATTCCCCAAAACCAATGGGGAATAAAAAAAGGATTTAAACCTTCATTAATTACAATAACATCTTTTACCGTTTAGCTTGACAGAACCAGTAGCCACAGGGACCTGTTTTGGGGTTTTGGGGGTCAAAAAGGATTATGATGTTTGGTATCTGACTTTCTGCTTCAGTAATACGTTTGAAATATGTACTTCCTCCTGTTGTGCTAAATTTAGGCCAGTGGGATGTAAACTCATTCTATTTGATGCTACTTTTTTATTTCTGAACCTGCAAAGTCAAGTGAAGTCAAAGCCTTTTAGAAACAAAAGTTGAAATGAAGCACCCACCCGTTTGTCTTCAAAAGGCACTTGCAAAACTTAACTAATACTATTTAAATACACAGCAATATTTACCCAAAATTTTGATCTTTTGAATCCGCATCATGTTCTTTCTCGAGGAAAAATTGGTAACGAGAAAATAACCCGCACTAGCAAAGACAGCTTCAAAACTGTGTATGGAAAAGGACTGCTGCTGCTTAAAGCCTCCAACAGTCAGCGTAGCCACCTCCTCAGTCCACCTGACTTGACTAAGTGTACAACGATGGGGCACAAGAGTTTTGATGTAGTCATGACAGAAAACAAAAACAAAAACAAAACATGTTCCCACAATTTACTTAACAAAAACGCATTCTTTAGGTAAAGTAAATGAATAAGTTTCTCTTCAATACTGTAATGTACCGTTGTCTATGTATAAATGGGACATGAATATTATAATATGAAACAACAAACACTCACCACTTTATTCCACACTTTTCTCAAACTTTCTCATACCGTTTATCTGCAGTCACGTTCCCCTCTGTGCTATGACAAACATGAAATATTGAAGCTTGATGACATGTGGTATTGTAGGTATAAATTACTCCATCATATAATAGTTTGCTACGTCGCAATACAGAAAAAAAGAAGAGCAACAACAAAAAGACTTGAAATGTAACAGTTTAAAGCTCATAGAAAAACAAGAGCGGGTAAACTTGTATGGACATTATCATTTCTCCTGTGTTGTGTTTTTCTTTTCCCTTGTGAATGTTTTTCTCTGAGCAGATTGACGGCTCTCAAACGTTTATTACTGAGAACACTTAAAGTGTCTCCACTTGGATATAAAAGAGGAAATTAGTGATGCCAGTATTGTGGGAAGCCTAGAGTAGTACGGTACTTTGCACTTGTATGGGATGTTTCAAATGTTTATAAATAAGATCATGATGAAAAATGTAGGTAATACCGAGATATAGATAAATGATGGAAGATGGACAGATAAAAATAAAACAGACTAACATGCGCACCCATTCTGATAAACTGTGACCATTGCAAAGTGCAAAATGTCTAAGTCAGCCTAGGCTGCTTTGCGTCCGTGACACCATAGGTGGCTCCAGGGTGCTCGTTCATGATTCTGTCCTCCCATCTGGTGTGAGAGTGAGCGGTAGAGATGTACAGGGTGAGTGTGGAGAAGATTTCAAGTCTTTTGGGCAGCACCGTCCTCGTCCTGTTGTCGATTACCACAGACTACTCGTGAGTCTGTTACTGGGCTGCCCAATATGGTGCTCTTTGAGAACACGTCTGTTGGACTCACACACACGCACTCTATCGGGTTTGTGACAGATTACTAAGTAAGTCATGAATTCCACTTCAGAGGCCAGTCAAGTATCCAGTGGCCTGGGGTGTAACATACTCCATAGTGAAAAATAAGAAAAAACTCAGAATATTCGAGCACATTTTCACACAGCGTATAAAATGGTCACTCACTTTCACCACATCAGCCTTCAATTCTTCCTGTAAAGTTACCTTCGTTCACAGCAAAAGAAATAAATCCGGCTTTATGAAGTTGGACACAAAATCTCGAATTATTAGCATCATTACCGCACTCATCGGGTGCAAAACATCGTGGGTAGTTATTAAATCCTTTGAGAAATCAACACAAATGACACCTTGAAAATGGAAAAATCCTTCACAGTACTTCCTAGTGCTCTGAGAAAGAGAGACTCCGAAAGAAAACACAGCATCCTAGGACATTGTCCAACAGACTGCTTGCTCTTGTGTACAGCAGATCCAGTAAGAAAACGCTGTTTATCTCAGTGCAGAAAGGTTCTACTAGGCACCGACTGTCCTGTCTAGTGAAGAAGTAATCCTTTCAGTGGTGGGCATTTCTTTTTGTATAGAACCATTCTACCATGTAGAACCAAGTACAAAAGATAAGGAATTCCAGAAAACTAAAATATAAGTGGCAGAACGGATGAATCATGAGACAATTTGTTGGTACTGTGGTAAATGCAGCTCCTGAGCTTCAAAGACATCTTCGCACAACATTCTGTGTCCTCAGCCGAGGCCGTCGTGGGGAAAGATCCTAATTAGCATAATGGTCGAATGATCCCAAGTACTCAAGGGCTGCACGATAGCAGAACTGAAATTGGTCCTGAGGAGAAAAAACCCAAAAAGATTGTAAAGAGGTGAAACACAGCAAAGCACATATGCACTCATACAACTAGATTGTAAATCAAAAGGTAGGCCTTCTGTTAATCAGTCTAGACCCACATTGCACTAGTGTTTGTTGAGCGGAGTTAGGATGGAAAGACATAAAATTAGCCCTGCAAAACATACCTCTACTTTTACTTAAGTTTTATTTAAAAAAAAAAAAAAAATTAATTAAAAGCTAAGTTGCTTATTTCTGTCATAACTTCCCCTTTGATAAAGCAGAATTATGGTGTCAGGTACAAACTGGCTCAAACAGACCAAGTCCGTAAAGGCTAATTTTCAGGAGTGAATGACTGTGTAAAGTTGTGAGTGTGATCCAGAAACTAATCGAAATGGTGACTTGTATGTTACAACTACTTTGTGAAAGCTAACCTCTGTCTGCACCATGGCTGGCCTCTGTGTACGCAGCATCTTGACTGTCTGGAACATGTCTACAACTCCCTCGTAACGCATGCGCTCCAGCACGATACTCAATGTGATGAACACGCCTGTGCGACCAACGCCCGCACTGAAACCACACAATCAATAGGCATGTTATTGCATAGGCAGAAACTCAAACATTTAAAATATGTCATGGATGGAAGGCAGTATAGTTTCAAGGGCATCACACAAAACAATGAATTCGGTAACTAAAATTTCCACTGCAAAATAGAATAAATTTCTAGTTTGTGTTCCCACATCAAAACCCACTTCCCAACTCTGAGAACACATTTCAACATTTCTGGTCATTTAGTACTACTTTCTCAGTTCTTTGAATAAGTACTGTGAAGAATCATTATAATCTAGAAAAACCCCTCAAAAAACAAAAAAAGTATTGAAAAGGAAGGAATGTCATTTTATTAAAAATTATTAAAATTCCAAAGTATGTTCAAGCATACTACTTCACATTACTTTAGTAAACACAATACCCAGTTTCTTTAGGAAACAACATCATGACCAGATATGCTACATAACACCAAATAAAGGAATCAAACATTGGGAAATGATACAGTTGCCTTGTATGAAGCTTGCCCACTGAACATGTTTGTCTTCGTTTAGTTAAGTTTTAGTCAGAGTTTTACGACAATTGCAACACAATATGGTCACATAAGTGCCAATGATTAGAGGAATTTACAAGAGAGTAACACAAACAAAAAGGGAGGAGAGAGAAAGACGATAGATGTTTGATAGGAAAGAAGGTGCACACCACACCAGAGCACCCACCAACCACCCCCACACGTTTGTCTTAGAGAACTAGTATGATATTTTAAAAAAATAACTAGTATGACATTCAAAAACAAAGACAAAAAAACCCAACTGTTCTGGTGTCCAACTGTGAAGCTGACTAGACTGACCTGCAGTGTACTGAGATGGGTCCCTCTTGTCCAAACTGCTCCTTTGTCTTGTGGACTTGACCTATAAAGTCGATGAATCCCTCCCCAGACTTCGGCACCCCTTGCTCTGGCCAGTCTGTGAACTGGAACTGACGGATAGTCCTGGACTGGCCATCCTGTGGAGGGAAGGGGAGGGTTAACATTTCAACTTTCTCAAGATCATGATGACTACCACTGTATGAATACATGAAATATCTTAAGATTAGCTCTAGTCCATAAACATGAGGTTTTCTGAACGGGGCAGCCTCCTTAAAGTTGGCAAAACGTTGTTTCTTGTTTTCCCAAGTTACCAATGTACATAATTTTGAACATAGTTTTCGCCCACAAAAATATGCCCATTTAGACAAGTTTTCTTAACTATTTCAACTTGTTTCATTCTTTTTTTTAACACGCATTCCCTCGAATAAAATTAATTAATTTGTCTGGTTATGAACATTTTGGTGGGGTCTTTTTAGCATGAATAATGTACATATGGCTTGAAGATAACCTCAAAATAAGACTGCATCAAGTGCAAAGGTTGAACGGTTCACAGTAACAAAAATAAGCTATAGCGAGTTTACTCGTCTGACAACGAAGAATAAACTTGCCACCTATTTTCTTGGTATTATTCCCCTTGGCACAAGCCAACAAAAGAAAACTGCAAGAAAGAAATGTAGGGGAAAAAAATGAAATGACTCACCCTGGCATCGGTGACCTTGAACTCCCTCAGGATGTACTGGGGCATGTTGTACTCAGTCATGGGGTCCACCACAAAGTACTGGTAGCGGGCCGACCGCTCGCTGGGCCAGTACTGGTGACATTTTTCCTGTCAGAACAGACACAGACATGACGTGAACAAGCTCTAGATTGTTTGGGTAGACATTTATAGCAGATTGACAAAATAATTGTCATTTAAAGCTGAGAACATTCAAGGCAACAGACGGGAACAACAGAGAGAATGAAAAGAAGTAGGATCTACCATTAGTGTCCTCCAATCACCCACACACATCGTGAATAAGTACTAATTGTCATATATTTGAAAACCCCTTTTTTTCTCCACAGATCACTTGCTGATAATAGATTTTTTAAACCCAATCTGTCAGAGCCAAAAAGGTTTTTGGTTTGTCTAGTCTTTTAAAAAAAAGTTTACTTCCAAGTCCCATCAAGTTGTATTTAGACAAAAACACATTAGTACACTGTATAACTTCTCCAGTGACGAGGACAAACAACAAATATTGGTTCTTAAAAAATATCATAGAAAAACAAAAGAAGCAACAACCCCCCCCCTGCTTGAACATCTCACTGATGTCACTGATGGCCGGTTGTCTCTCCAAAGACACAACAATAAGGAGAAAAAGACAGCTCAGTGAAAGGAAGAGGGCAAAAGAAAGTGTTTGAAGAAAAGAAAATAAAAAAGTATATAATATGATCAGAATGAAGACATGAAAAATATATATGTATGGTCAGAACAGCAATATAAAAAAACATACTTATGGCCAAAATAAAAATACGTTTCTGGCAAGAACAGAAGAATGAAAAAACCCAACATATTTATGGCTGGGATGAAGAAATAAAAAAAACATGAGTCATTCTCACCCGTCCCATTTCCCGTAGTTTAGTGAGCATGACAATGATGGTGGAGTTGTGCTCCCACAGCATACGCCAGAAGTCCTCAGTGGTCTCTGCCAGAGGGCCTTGAGTGGCCACGTATGCACGCTTGTAGCGGTAGCCCTGGGGGAGAAACATACACATACCATAAAAGTTGGAATCAAATGTTATTTGTTAGTGTTTTATGCTTCTATCATTTGCCTCTTTCACACTGGTATTGGGTAAAAGCCGCCAAAAAGAGCCCTCAACCTTCCTTTTTCTGTTCTGAGCAATCTTCTTCATCCTCAGCCAGCTGTGTCTCACATATGCCTGAGATCTGCCTCTATATCTCACTCCCAGGTGAATCTCATTTATGCCTTCACTGATACAATTGAGATAATTTAGCTAGTGAACTGACTCCACCCTGCCTGTCAGGGCCAATCCAGGGTTAGAGGGAGACAACATTTCAGCAGACAGGCAGAGACACTTGATAAAAACCTCCAATTAAACTCAAGTCTTTTGACTGCCATGGTGACAAAACTAACCATTACACCACATACACTGCTATTCCTTGGAGAGTTATATATACATGAGAGTTGCAATGAGGGGCATTACATGATATAAAGACAGTGATATGGATGAAAGAAACCTGCACGAATTCTCAACTTGGACATTTATTTGTCAGAAAAAAATATTTGTAAAAAGTGGACGTGGTAAGAAAGAAATGAAATTACTCAAACTACATATCATAACTCACATCGATAAAGCTGGCATTGATGTAGTCTGAACCATCGACACCTCGGATGGGTTGCAGGCAGACACGAGTTGTTTCATCTGAAGAAAAAAGTTGTTACTTTATACTATTTTTTGATATGACAAAAATCATAAGCACTAAGTCTAATGATTCTTTGAACACTAATACACATCATAAAAGAAGGTAAGGGCTAACAGAGAGTTCCTAATTAGGGTACATATTGCTGTGGTTACAAACAGTTCACATAATCTTTTTGTCTGAGCAAAAAAAAATCAAAGTTGATATTTCATATGTAAAATTATCATTGAAAAGTAAAATGTCTGGAACATTCCACTTCTGTCTATAGGCACTGATGGGAGTACTTACATGGCAGAATGTTGACCAGTCGGTTCTTGAACTTATTCACTGCCAGGTTTGCACTTACAAACCGGTTGGGGCTGGCCTTGACATTGGCGAGACGCTGAGGGAGAGGAGAAGCAAAAGATTCGTTACATTCTTTTTTTTTTTTTTTAGTAAGTGTTTTACGGTACTTGCAACACAATAATGTCATATAACTGCCGAAGATTAGAGGCGTTACAAGAGAGTAACAAACACAAAAAAGAAGGAAGGGATATAAAGACGATAGACGTTTGATAGGGAAAAAGAAGCAAACCACACCAGAGTGCCAACCACCCACTCGTTACATTCTGGTTTGGACATTTAAAAAAAATTAAATAAAGGCAAAGCAAAGTGATAGATAATAAGAGATGAGGAGAAAATAAGATCCACAGATGAGGAGAAAATAAGATCCACATAAAGATTCTGCTCAACCATTTCTTGGACACAGACATAGACGACTGACAAGAGCTTGTTCAAAGTTTTGACACAGACTCGAGATTCTAACACCATTTGAGTTACAAAGTCGTTTATGTCTACATTTTTCAGTTTTGTTTTCAACACAAATGTTTTAACAAAGCTAAGCCGACTCACCTTGAATTCCAGTTCCATGCCAGTGATAGCCTGTCCAGGTTCGGGGGCGGTCAGCTTCTGTATGTGAGCAGCCAGGTTGCGGGCGGGTACCTCAGTGTTGCCACACTGCACAGCCTCAAGGAGAGCGTCGTGGATGAAGATGTACTGGTCCTCCGTCTGCACCATGTAGTTACGCTGGGCCCGTAGACAGGTCACATGACCGTAGATGTCCACCGTCATCTCATGCTTGATGCGCTCCAACATGGCGTCGATCACAATGAAGGCTCCTGTACGGCCAACTCCAGCACTGCAGGGGCAAGTTAAGATATCCGTTGCTAATGATTGTATAATTGTTATTGTTGTACATCCCCATCAACACATAGGGGGCTCTCGTGGCCTAGAGGTTAAGGTGTTGGCCTCTCATTCAAAGGTCCCGGGTTCGATTCCGGGTAGCGACCAAAATATTTTCTTCTCTAAAATTGTCTCCTTTCACATCCTTTCCTGATCTCTAACAATGTTCTGTTGTCTACTTTCATTTCCTCTTTCTGCCCCCACCCCCTCACCTCCTTTGCCCCCTCCTCTGGGCTCCTGACTCTTTCTGCAGCCTTTCTACTGCTACTCCTTGGCTCCTCCTAGCTGCTGTCTTTCTGCCACACCCCTGATCTTCTGGTAGGAAAGATCTACACCTAGCCTTCTCGGACCAGGGCGAAAAATCTTGGAGGGCCCGTGTGCAAGTTGCGCACCTTAAAGATCCCTTGGTGGTCTAAAATCGATAAGAGTAGGCTTCGGCCGCCACCCGGGCAAAATTCAAAATTTCCTACCAACGAAAAAGTATTAGGTGTGTCCCGCGCGCTCATATGACCTTATGCAGTTGCGAGCGCCGTAAAACCCTATACTAAAACAAACAAACAAACATCAACACATTTTAGATCATTTGAGCAGCTGGCTGTTTTAAGCCTGCATGTCAGAGCTAACCCAGGCTGGGCCAGCAGATGGACAGAGGTACTCACTTGGACAAGAACGTGACTGCTAAACCACAGATGCCAGTACAGTAGGGACAAATAAAGATGTTTGGTGGCTGGTCACTGCTGCTGCTGGGTAATGGTTATGGGTGTGACTGGTCACTGGGGCCAGACTACAGCTATACAAACAATACTTGCTTAATCATCCAGTGTCTCCACTGCCTTGACATGTCAGGGTGTCATTTTTTATTTTTTGCCAACACACATAATTTTATACAAGCAACTCTAACGCTACAAAGAAATTTTTGAAAATAATGTGCCTTTCACTGAGCATTTATTCTATATTTGCATTTCAAAACCGCATATTTCAGAAATTAAGGCTGCTAAATTCAAGGAACGTTTATTAAACAGTATAAGTAGCGGATTTGTCTCATATTACAACGACTCTTGGTGAACCCTGGCAAGGGAAGTCACACTGACACAGAAGCCATCAGACCTTTTAAAAATAGCCCAAACTCTTGAACCATCTAAGCTTGGATTACAGGAAGATTGCTTAGTCATGTCAAATAATGCTGACATATGTACATATTCATATTTGTATATAATATGTTGCTAAAGTAAAATTTCAGGTAGGGCGCAAAAGTGGTATCTCTATCTCCCAACTAAAAGTTCTGTTGTTGAAGGGATAAGATAAGGCCTTCACCCACCTGCAGTGAACTATAATGGATCCGGCATCGGTGGGGTTACTGGCCTTGACCCGGCGCATGAACATGAGCAGAGGGGTGGGGTGGTTGGGGACTCCGTGGTCGGGCCATGCAGTGAACTGGAACTGGCGCACCTCACGTTTCTCCGAGAAGCCGTACTGGGAATGAGAGAGAAAGAACACAGGTAAAGGGGCAGGAAATACAGAATGAAGAATGCTGCTGGCAACCCAACCCATCCCCCCCCCCCTTCCAAAGTGGTGTATGTCACAGAATGACATATCAACTGTACTGTCCTTGACTTTAATTTAGAATGCATTAAAAACTTTGCATTTTTCTGAACTGAAAAAAAAAAAGAAAAGATTTTTAAAGAAGGTCACATACTTCATTTCCCAGTAGCAGTCTTCAAACTGACCTCGACAAGGAAAGTTGAGTACATATTTTGCTGGAATGATATGGGCTTAGGGTAAAAAACATGGCATGTGAGATTCAAGAGAAAAGGTACAGAAAAAAACCAACTTGATATAAGGAACATAATCCCTACAAAACGACATTGAACGTTGAGTATAAATTCAAACCTGTTTCACGAAATTTTACATTGCATCAAAGATGGAATCTCTATACTAAAATCTTTCTCAGACTGCAAGGATTGGAAAGCGGTTGAAAAAAGGAATCAAATTCTAATATATCTCTCATTCAAGTTCACTCTAGTCAAAATTTAACACAACTCTTAAAGTCAACAAACTTAAACTAATTACAAAATTTTTACTAGTGCTTTACAAGGCTACCTGTAGTATTTGTAAATCATTTTTGGCCACATTTATTTAGCCCAAGCTTACCCGAGACATATGGAAAGTACGAATAGTGTAGGTGGCCAACTCCGTAACATCCACAAGTTGTACATGCATCAGTCCGTATGTCTCCGCACCTCGGGAAGGCCAGTACTGGTCACATTTGATCTGTACAGGAGAGGAACACAGCATGAGCATGAGTAAAGACAAGCACATCAGCAATGAAGTGGTTCATTAAATGCAGAGGAACAGTGAGACAGGCAGGTAGAAAAACTATGGGGGGAGGGGGGGGGGTTAAAGAAGTAGGAACTACCCGAGTGGCACCCCTCAATCACTTGCAACTTAAGAGTGTGAGTGTGTGTAAAGAGAACCACATACATACAGTAGTGGTAATTAAAAGCAGGGAACAAGACAGACAGACAAAAACAATTGGGGGAAAGATAAGAAGTATGACCTACCAATGGCACATACCAATAACTTGCCCCTTAAAATGATAGCACTAGTAAAGAATAAGCAAATTCGCATGCATGGTACATATCAGTGCAGAGAAAAAGTAAAACATATAGACAGAAACCAGAGGCGGAAAGAAAAGAAGTAGAATCTATGGGTGGTGCCCTCCAATCACCCACGACCTCTTACTATCAATAAAAAAACAACACATAGTTGAAGAGATTGTGAGCTGGCGAAGTGACTCTTGTATTTTACTTCCCCTTGGCTGTTCCTACCTTCTGATCAATAGAAGTGTGTGATAGGTTTCATGAACATTTCTATAAGAGAAAAAAAGGCATATTTTTCTTTACAATGAACCAAGCCGAATTTTTGGATGTTAACTTCTGGCATTGACCTGTAGTACAACTCCCAGCCCAACATTAAAAAACATTTTTTAAAAATTACTTGACCAAGAAAAAGAAAATATGTCATGATAAGGGGAGTTAAAATTGACTGAGTTTTTTTTTCTCTCACATACCTAAAACTTTTTTTGTATTGAAAGATGTGTCACAAACCTGAATACAACTGTCAATAGTTTTGCTCTTCCCTGTAGCAGAGGGCAAAGGGAAGCGTGAGGTGGAAAATATTCCTGAAGTACGTGAACAACAGCAGGACTTCCACATTGGCCCAAAATACATAACCTGCCTGTCCCCCCCTTCCTCCCCCCCCCCATACACACACACACTCACACACACTCACTCACTCACATACACATGCACACACACCAGCCAGTTGTCTTACCCTGGATCTCTCCTCCAGTTTGGTCATCATCACAATAGTGGCTGACCTCTGTTCCCACACCATGCGCCAGAAATCTCCGAATGTCTCCGGCAGAGGGCCCTGAAGATACATTTACATGTGTTTGCATTAGAGTTTGACAAGCAAAGAGGACATTAAACAAAAAATTAATAAATTAAAACATTTTAAAAATTGATCCTCGTGGGGTAATCTGGTCTACAATTGCAAATATACATACATAAATCCATAATTATGAATACATACATACATACATACATACACAATATAACACCAATACAGAACAATTTCACATACATATCATTGCTGGTCGCCACTGTGCAGCTCCCTGTTTTTAGAGCTAGGATTGTCGCATCTTGCTCAAGGACACACCCCAGTGACCACCCATCTTAACTCTGTGTCACCAACACCTGCCCAACATTACTTTTGAGTTTGAACTCACTACTCACTTAGATAAGTGGAACCCCGCGTCAAGTTTACACTCTAAAAAGACTAGACAAAATACAAGTCATTCTGGAATAGAACAGAAAAGGAAAACTTACAGATTGTACACTGTGTTTAAATACGACTTCTTCACCATTGAAAAAAAATGGGCACGGGACATAAAAATTAAGAAATAATAAAGAGAAACCAATGGTATCTAAAAAGTGTGTCATATCCATTATCTGCACCGACATACCTGTGTGGCTATGTAAGCATTCTGTTTGCGGTAACCGTCCATGTAGTTGGCGTTGATGTAGTCACTGCCAGGCACGCCCTCCATTGGCTGCAGGATGACGCGGGAATGGTCGTAGGCGATGACGTTGGCGTAGCGGTTCTTGGGCTTGTTCACCTCCAGGTTGGAGTTGTCCCAGGTGAACTGCTGGCCCGGCTCGATGCTCTCGTACTCCTGGGAGAACTTGAAGTTGTCCGACGCCTTCAGGACGTCGATGTGCTCCGCCAGACGCTCGATGGGGATGGGAGGATGGCTGATCATGGCTACGGAGGGAACGTAAAAAGTCAAAGGGTTGAGTTTTTGCAATGAATGTGATGCCCCTTTCAACTTGATTTGGGTTTTACAGAGAGGTTTATCTTTGAACTTATGTGTACCGAATTTTCTACGTACAAACATTTGCAATAATAATAATAATAATATTAATAATAATAATAATTGCATTTATACAGAACATATCCATGTTTTACAGCATGTGCTATTCACTCTACAACTATTGTATGTCTTTTTTCCGCTCTGAGAATACACTCAACCTCTTCTTCACACAAGATTGATCTGGGCTGCAAAGATCTCTTTCACAACAAAAAAAAAACAACAACAAAAAAACAAAAAATCCTGTTCAAAAACAAATGCTGCACACACCCAGAGAATAACATAACACAGACACAAAGAAACAACACAACCTAAAGAGCATCATACCAGGAGTCTGGTAGTGTTGTCTTCTCATCTCCACGGGGTCAATAGAGTAGGGAGGTGGCTCAATCATTAGGGCTTTGGACTCTGGCTCCATAGGATCTCCTTTAGCCTTGTTCTTTTTCCTGTACACAAAATATTGTAAAAAGGAAAAAGAAATGTACAGAGGGAACAGAAACATGAACGATATTATTCTTTTTAAAATTTGAGTTCTATTCTCTTACCAACAGGGACATATGGTCTCTCTCAATCCTTTATTTACCATGCTGCTGAAATTTTTTCCACAGCAAGAATTTCATATACAAAAAGAAAAGATAAGTGTCCCCTCCCATTTTATTGCTTAAGTCATTTATATATAACGTAACACACCAACAGCTTTAATGAATGAAGTGCAACTGTTGGCCCTCGTGAATCTGCAACAGTTGGTAAACTTGTAAGGTTTCTTGCACATTGACTAGTACCCATCATTAGAAATTTTACTCCATACAGTTGGCATTATGCATATTTTTAGATTCAAGAGCCTTGATACTGATATGCTGCTTTGAAAAATGGACACACATCAAAATACTCTATCCATTAATCTATTACTTTCCAGTGGGGGTGTAAAAAAAAAGTATTCTTTGGTAGAGGTTTTCCTGTAAATCGTACAAACACCACACACAATATCTTACCTCATAAAGAAGTAAGTGAGGATAGCACAGGCTATGATGATGAAAATGGCTCCAATGCATGTTGGGGCCACAATGGTCAACAGAGCACTGGCGTCATCATCAGGGATACCCTGCACTGGGTTGTCTTGACCTTTATCTCTATCTGTGGTCTTGACAGGGTTGGGTCTCCGTGTTGGCTTGTTGTAGTTCCAACCATTGATGATGCTAATCTTGTCAGAGAAGTTGCTGGACGTATACAATCTCTGCAAAAATAAAATTCATTTGTATTTGTCTTATACCCCATTGACGCTATTTAAAATCATTAACGCGATCCTTTGACCCTGCCTGTCTGGGTTGTCTCCTGTCCCAACAGACTGACGGAGATATTTGATAAACTAGGGAAGTGCCTTGCTGCTGCAACACCACAGAAGCTGGTCTACAATCACTGTTAGATTTGTGTTTGACTGTTCTATTTATTGCTTTTGTGATCATTTGAGGACTATGCAGTGAAAAAAAAAAAAAAGAAGGGATTTCTGCATGTATCTTTTCATCTACTATACTACTATTCTAATACATTTTTCGACCTGACCCAAAATCCCTGTGGACTTGTTATGTATAACAGATGAAATGTGTACCTGATCCACAGAGTAAGCCCGGAGGAACACTCGGTACTGGTCATCAACGTCCAGTGGTCGGTTGTGGAAGGAGCCATACTCCTGGTTGTTGCCCAAGTAGAATTCTGGTGGGAGTGCACGGGACTCAAACCTGGCAGCGATGTAAGGTCTGGATGCAGGTGTGGACACACTCAGCCACTCAGATGTCAGCTGTGGACGACAAAGAGATATTGCTCTAGTGTAAAAATATGTCTACAGGGTAACAGATCAAGGGGAAGACCACATGGAACCCTAGAGAAGAGTCTCAGTCATAGAAATTGATGTACAGAAAAGTAGGAAGACATGGAATAACATCAAGAGGCTATCCCAGGATAGGGAAAGGTGGAAAGTGTTTGTTCGTGGCCTATACCCTGACCCAGGGTGAGAAAGGCAATCAATGATGATGATGAAATAACATGTATAATAACACTTGTTACTATCATCACTGCCATCATCACCAACATTACCATCACAAATATCTTTATACCTTTGGTTGCTGTAAAACATTTATCATGAGTCTCTAATGTTCACAAATTGAAATTCATTTGGGGAAATGAGCAAATAAGTTGATTGATGGATCTGTTTCAGGGACTAAAAATACATTTGTTTCCAAAGAAATACTTTTTCATCTTGCTATTTTTTTGTACCCCTCGTACCCCATCTTCAGTTTTGATTTGAAAGAGATGAAAAATCCTATTGTTTCTAAAAAACCATCTCATCCTTCTACAATACCTCGTCTAAGGTGTAATCTGATGGCATTTTGGCCATGCGAGACTTGGTGGGCACCACAACAATGTGGTAGTGACTTATTGGTCCGTTCTTCTCCGAGGCCTGTTCCAGGCTAAGCCGGATGGTGCCTTTCTGGACAGCCAGGACTTGAGGCTGGGCCACTCGGGGAGGCGCTGTAGGCACAAAGTACAACAGTAAGTAGGGTGAATAAAATATTAACAGATTCTCTACTGCATTGAAATAAAAAAGAACGAGTTCAAAGCTATGTGCGTGTTTTGTTTGTTTGTTTGTTTGTTTGAGTAAGGAGAAGCACATTGACACAATAATAGTCATTTAGTGCTAGGAAAAAGTAAGACAGACAGACTGAAATAACAGGGAAAGTAGAGATGTCTGAAGTTTTGAACTGACGACATAATGAGCACAGAACCTATAGTACATCAATGTCCACAGGACCTACAAAACATCAACACCCAAAGGACCAGCAGGGAGTGCTGGACATTTTTCACACTATATAGGCAAGAGGTCTAAAGAGAATACACGACTGGATACTTATAAATCACACATTGATTTTGGTAAAATGTCTTGTACCGTTAATAATTTCTTCACAGAGGCAAAAGCTATTTATGTTCAGGCACTGTTTTAGTTGAACACTTCTTGGACAGCATGTGAAATGTCACACAGTTTAGTGTGGACTTTTATTGACACAGGCTTTGGCAGTATGGACACAAAAATTTCATGCATAAATTAAGATGCTAGTGACATCAGTGCCTAACCTACATTTTGTTCAAACTCATTAACAAACTGAAAAATTCATATTCAAAACACACTGGTAATGATCAAGTTATCAAATGTACATAAGAAAAGGATTTTTGATATGAAAAGAAAAATGAATTATAAAGAAAAGTTATACAAGATGGTGAATTTGTTCCAAGCGCACTGACCATCAATAAGAGTCTCTGTGACCAGGTGTTGCATGTAGCCCTCAGAGCCATCGTTGTAGACAGCACTGATGTTGAACTCAAACTTCATCTTAGGCTTGAGGTTGGTCACAGTCCAAGTGGTCTGCTGCTCTGGGATCTTCACCTCGTCAAGCTTCTGGACCACCCGCTTGACCGTTCCGTCTTCCCGGTACGTCTTCATACCCTCATAGTACAGCTGTGAGGGAAACATAGGAAACATTGTTTAAAATTCATATTCCAAAAGAAAAGAATATTTTCAATTGAAACTAGTTACCTTTATGCCACATGGTAATAAAAACTAAGTTTGACAAAAGTTTTACGGTGCTCGCAACAGCATAAGGTCGTTTGAGTGCGCTGCTAAAAACAAAAAAACTGTAGATTAGAAAGAGGACTGACGAGCAAGAAATGAAGAATCAAAGAAAGAATCTTGGGAAAAGTGTTGTCCAGTTCACAGTAGCTTGTAATCTAACTCATAAGACCACAAAGGCACTTGCCCAGTCAAACTTATATTCCACTGTTATAACGGAAAAAAAGTTAAAATAAACGCATAACTGTAAAAAATTGATGCTTCACATCACACATCACCATAAAGGCAGAACAGAATGACAGAGGCATATTCCTCCCCCCCCCCCCCCCCCCATATGTGTCTTTACAGGATGAGGGCAAAAGTGCATTATAACTACAGTCGAAATTGTCTAAAACAGCCACCCATTGTTGAGACAAGTGGTTGTCTTGGACAGGGGAAAGTCTTACACAGTGTTATTGTCAGGTAAAAAAAAACTGTGACGGGAGAAAAGGGAAGTGGCAGTTTGTACGGTGATTGTTTTATACCAGTGGCCGTAAGAGCAGGTTCGACTGTATATGTAAAGGAAGAGACATACATAGTGAAATTCAATATTACGGACTGACTTACCCTGTATGAAGCGACACCATCGCGTTTAGGTTTGTCCCATGACAGCTTGACCAAGTTGGTCAGTCTCTGGGTCACACGGAACCGCTGGACAGCATCATCACGCTCTGCAACCGGCAAGATGTACACATGTCAAATACGTCAAGAAAACTGTTTCAGTACGAGTGAATTTTTTTCCCCCATTTTTCTCTTACTTTGGTTCACATTCTAAAGCAAATTTTGGACAATAAATGTTCATGTGCATTTTTATATAAGCTAAATGTTCAAACTGAACAAACATAGAAGTGTACACTATACATTGTGAGAATCTTTATGATGAAATTTTTCAAATTAAGCTTGATATCTTTCAATCAGACATCAAAATACATGGGACCACAGTAAAGACAAAAGTATAACCAGAAACATGAAAGATTGGTAGAGTAGTAAATTATATGAGTGGAAAATCTAAAAATTGAAACTTTTCAAACAGTGTTTGAAAAGATCTCCCAAAAAGAAAACAATCATATTTCCCTACACGGCAGCAGCAAGCCACTCACCAATCTCCTTGATGTCAGTAGTGACCACAGCGGAGAAGTTTCCATAGCGACCATCAACACTCTTGGACTGCACCCGGACGGCGTAGACTGTCTTGGGGTTGACCCCGCTGATGTCCGCCACGGTGTAGGGTCCAATCTCCATCTGCTGCCAGACGTGCATGACAGGTGTGGCAAACATGTTGTAGTAGATCTTGAAACCCGACACGGGGGCCTCCGGCTCGTCCCAGCTCACCTCAATGTTTGTGTCTGACGTACGCCGCACTTGGACATTGCGGGGAGGGGGAGGCACTGTAAGCAGTGAGATGCACAACATTTACTTATGAGGTAGGGGAGGGAAGGAGATGGGAGGCAATGTACCAATTGGAGCTATGCCACACTTATTTACAGTCTCTTTATTTCTATCTACAGCACATATATGATGATTTTCCATTCTCTTAATGCCAACAAGAATATTTCAGTCGTAGGAGAAACAAACTGAGAGAGCAAATACAGTAATTATTCCGTCAAACCTATCATTGAGTATAAAAACATAAGCCTTCAAAGTTCATCAGTGGGTCAAAACTCTAAAGCATTATGTCAGCCCTATGATTAAGTATCAGAAACACATAGTATCAAATCTGTACAGCACAACACTCACTCCATCCAAAGGTTCGGAAGTGCAGCCTGTTACTCCAAGGTCCGGCCCCTCTGCTGGTGTAGGCCTTGATCTTGAACATGTAGTCCGTGTTCATCTCCAGCCCGACCAGGTCCACAAAAGTGTCAGTACAGTTTAGGTCCTCCTCGTTGATGGGGTCGGACAGCTTGTGGTAGGTCACCTGGTACATGACGATGTCGCCGTTGCGTAGGTTACGGGCCGGCAGATCCCAGGTGAGGCGGACTGATGTCTCTGTGAGTCCAGAGGCCGTGAAGTTCTGGGGTGCTCCAGAGGGAGCTGTAAGAGAACGGAAGAGATAACTGTTACTAGGCTCGTTGTAGAGGAGACCTTGCAGTAGAATTGTTATTTTCAGTGAAGTAGAGCAGTAACAGTCATATTTCGCAAACAGAGCAAGGTAAAAATAACAGCAAAGAAAGATAGAAGAGTAGACCACAATACACAACAAATCAAGAAAGTGTTGCACATTATTACCCTCTGACAACAATAGTGAGTCACAAGAAAAACATGGAGAAAAAGTCTGTCATCTAGCAATAGAATATGAAAGTGACCAAAACTCATAAGTTTGTTTAGAAAAAAAAACCCAGCATCTTCTAAATGAACCACCCCTTGCAAAATGACACATATATCTCTAAAATTACAGCACTTCAAGATATAATTAAAGGAACCAAAGAATGAAGGTGGTAAGAGAAAAGGCTACATAATACCCTAAGATGTGCAAGAAATAGTGTCATTTCTGCCTAGTACCAAACAATGCAGCTCTGCTTTTATGAGGCCACAAGTCAAGATTTCCCCCTTCGACTAACTCTCATGAGAACTAAGTCTCATGAGATGACTTACCGCCATCGGGGGTCGTGATGGTAGCGACAGCTCTCTCACCATAGTCTACTTCATTAGCCGCCGACACACGGAACTCATATGTGGTGCCCTTGTCTGAGGAATACAAAAAGCAAATAAAGGTTGAGGCTGACGTAAAATTTTACACAACTGTCTGATGCACCAGATCGTACAAATGTCACGTAGGATCTAAAAGTTGACGTCAGACATGGAAGAAGAGCACCCTAACCAATGACCAGAAATATCCTAGACAAGCCAGAATTTTTCATCAGATTGTAAAGCCTATTAATGTTTTACATCCCTGTATGATTGGTCTCTTCATTTGCTAACCTTTTACAATTATCCTGTTAGTCTGAGTAAAGGAAAGCACACTGACACAGTTATGGTCATTTAATGCACGGCAAAAGCAAGGCAAGAGAGACAGAAACTAAAGGGAAAGAATAGAAGCTAATATCTTCGAGAAAAATAAAATGAATAGTACAATTACAACACAACAAATTGAATGTCTTTGGTCTCTATTCATTCCCAATAACCTTCTGTAATCTTAAAGATACACACTCTCTGGTGGTTGCTAAGCGAATTGAGTACAAAGTTCTTTTCTAAAAAACAACAGAAAAGTTAAAATTCTATTCTTTGAAACTGTGACTTCATGAAAATTAGAATGTTCAAGCTAAAAACAGTTGAAACGAATTTTCATTCCATTTTTCTCCACTCTCAAACTTGTTCTCTGAGTATTGACAAAAACATATTTTATCATCATGATGCTGCGAGTACACCAAAACGTTAACCACACACAGAACATGATAATTCATTAAAATAACCAGACAGCAACAATAACAGCAAAAGAAAATCAGAACCTGCAGTTTGGTGTAAAAACACATGACAAAAGTAAGCCGTTCACAAAACTTTCACTTCCGTTACAGAAACACAAGCATCTCTCAGGTATATTTACAAAGCCCACACGGCTCAATAGCGGCGCTTTTTCTAGGAGACCTTTCCAGAAGTCTCCCTAATTTCCCTCTCTTCCTGTGAGAACTTCAATCTGTTTGCGTTAATTTGCAGGCATTTGTCTGGGCACCTGGCTTCACTTAACAGTTTCCATCTAAAAAAAGTTCTTGTGGAGCTGCCCTATGCAGCTTCCTAATTAAACCAAGTACAGAAGCCAGTAATCCGAGTAGAGAAGCCAGATTCTTACTTGGCCTACTCAAATGTCAGAACAGTGTTGCAACAGCTCATGTTTCGCAATTAATTTTTTTCGAGGCTGGATTTTTAAAGGTATTCTAAGGAGGCTTAATAAACTTCAATTTCACTTTTTTTTGGGGTGAGGAAAACTGTACCCTCTCCCACCCTCCTTTCTTTATCCATCAATCAAAACAGAAAACATTCATGTTTATGGATCATGTCACTGTATCTTTTTCTGATCCAAAAAAGAAGGAACAAATTGAATGTCTTTTTTTTCTCTATCCATCTTCTTGTCAGTCTGTCTGCCTATCTACCTGTCTCTCCCCTCTTTCTTTCCATACCGTCCCCACATTCTCTCTCTGTCTCTCTCTGTCTCTCTCCCATCAACCACACAAATATCTACACACAAGATTGAAAAATTAGATGTATTTGTTTGTGTTTCTGTTATTTCAACAGTTTTACAGGGCCGGGTAGTTGGCCCTCCAGGAACTGGCTCTTTTCAAGAGACCAGTCCTACGCATCTTTAGTCGCCTCTTATGACACACAGTATCCCAACAGGTGTTATTCTTTCCAAATCCTAACTGTAGGGGTTGGAGTAGGAGTAAATTTCTTACTAATTTCCTAAATATTAACC